ATTTTACTTCTGCAGAAGGGCGTAAGCAGGCATGTAGGATAAAGCAGGGTTGCCCCCTTTTATCCCTAACACAAGAGGAGCAGCTGACCTCTTTCCCATGGGCTGGCTTGGAGGTTCACAGTCTACCCCAACTGGCTAACCAGGATGGTGAAAGGGGAATCTGAGGGGCTACTTAGGGGAAGGGATTGCAGAGAGGGGAGGGATGTAGAGACCAGAAAATCCTTGGTTGGTGATAAGCTATCTTCGATTTGTAGCTGTGTTCCCAGGGTTGGACCTGAGCTGGCATTTTCTGGAACTTAGTGTGTTGAGGAAGGGCCATGTTGTGTGGGCTAGAGTCAAAGGAGACATTCATGTTTGATAGAAAAGACAGAACTTACTGTTTTCCACAATTTCAAATGTGGATCTATAAAACTTCTAGAAGGAAGCTCTAGGAAAAGCCTTTGAGACTTTTGGGTAGGAGAGGAAATTTTATATTCAACAGAAGAAGTGTGAACAGTACAATCCAAGAAGAAAGTCACATTGAATTTTATCCCAATTAAACTCTTCTACTCTTTAGAGCAACTGTAAGGAAATAAAAGCCACACTATTTCCACTGGAAGGACTTAGGAACATTCATGGCATCTGAAACTGTAATAGGCAGAACCGGTAAAAACCCAAATGTCTGTCAGCAGTTGAATGATAAAGAATTGAAAGTTACTCAGCAATGAACATCAAACTTTCATTCAGACAATTTCGTTATAGACAATAACATGGGTGAAATTCAAACGCTATTTGTTTTTTTTTATTTTTATTTTTTTATTTTAAAGAGTAAAAGAAGGATAACATAATAATAGGGGGGACTTAGCAAATTACAGACAAAATGGTAGGAAATTATCAATGGTTATTGTTTTACATATTGTTATCTACAAAACAGTTTCTCAGGAAAACAAATAGACAATAGTGAGTTACAGACAAAAGAGGTAGGAGATTATCAAGAGTTGTTGTGCTATACTTTGGTATCTTCAAAGTGGCTTCTAAAGAAAATAAATAGAGTCAAACGCTATTTGAAAGAAGCCTTCCCAGTCAGGAGGCCACCTGAGGACTTGCTCCCTCCTGCCTGGGGACTGTCCCTCACCGTCCATTTGCTCTTCAGGACTTCTTTGTGTGGTGCTGTGTCTTCTCAGAGCCTTTAAAGCTCCTCCCACTGGCCGACAGCATGAGCCTGAAACACTGGCTTTAGCTTCTGGGAACATTTTATTTCCCTGTCAGTCATCAAGGTTAAGCAGCAATTTCAGCTGCAAACTACCAAGCCCCTGTGTCTTGAATAACCAGAGGGTCAATGAGCAAGCAGGACAGGACTCAGGCTCCCCGGAGTCCTTGCCTTCTTCCCTTCCTTGTGTTTGAAGGGATCGCTACCTTTAACAAAGGAAAGGTCCCAAAGCAAGGTGAGTGGGAGGAGATGGGAGTTGCCCAGCATATTCTGGTTCCAGTTCCATCGCCGATTGTTCTAGCAATCAAGACCAGGCTAACTCCAGTCATCGGGTTAAGCATCTAGAATATTTTATTGGTTTTTATGCAAGGGGGTAACCTTGAGAGCACAGGTGTCACAAAAACCACCCTTAAATTAAAGCCAGCATGGGAAAGGAAAAATGCACATCAGTATCATCGTCCTCAGGCCTGAGGATTCTGGCAAGTCCACCACTACTGGCCATCTAATCTACCGATATAGTGGCATCGACCAAAGAACCACTGAAAAATTTGAGGAGGAGGCTGCCCCGATGGGGCAGAGTTCCTTCAAGCATGCCTGGGTCTTGGAACTGAAAGCCGAACGTGAGTGGGGCATCACCGTTAACGCCTCCCTTGGAAATCTGAGACCAGCAAGTATTTACGACTATCACTGATACCGCAGGACACGGAGACCTTAACACAAACATGGTTACAGCCACATCTCAGGCTGACCGTGCTGTCCTGATTGTTGCTGCTGGTGTTGGTGAATTTCAAGCTGGCTCACACACTGGGTATAAAACAACTCATTGTTGGTGTTAACAAAGTAGATTTCACAGAGCCACCATACAGTGAGAAGAGATACGAGGAAGTGGTTAAGGAAGCCAGCAGCTACGTTCAGACATTGTGCTGGAGCCCTGTGATAATTTGCCTTGGGTTGAGGGAGGAGGGTCACTCATAAAGATGATAATGTCAGTGGAACCACACTGCTGGAAGCTTTGGATTGCATCCTATCACCCACTCGCTCAACTGACAAGCCTTTCATGTCTGCCTCTCCATGTTGTCCACAAAATTGGTGGCATTCGTGCCATCCCTGTGGGCTGAGTGGAGATTGGTGTTCTCCAACCTGGCATGGTGGCCACTTTCATTCCAGTCAATGACACAACTGAAGTCAAGTCTGCTGAAATGCACCATGAAGCTTCAAGTGAAGCTCTTCCTGGAGACAATGTGGGCTTCAATGTCAAGGATATGTTTATCAAAGGCATCATTGTGGCAACGTTGCTGGTGACGGCAAAAACGACCCTGAGATGGAAGCAGCTGGTCTCGCTGCTCAGGGGATTATTCTGAACCATCCAGGCCAGATCAGTCCTGGGTATGCTCTGTGCTGACTGTCACACAGCTCACATCACTTGCAAGTTTGCTGAAGAAAAGATTGATTGCTGGTCTAGTAAGAAGCTGGAAGAGGGCCTTGAATTCTTGAAGTCTAGTGATGCTGCTCTCGTTGACACGTTCCAGGCAAGCCCGTGTGTGTCAAGAGCTTCTCCAACTCCCATCCTCTGGGTTGTCCGCTGTTCTTGATATGAGACAGACAGTTGCTGTGGTGTCGTCAAAGCAGTGGATGAGGAGGTTGCCGGAGCTGACCAGGTCACCAGGTCTTCCCAGAAGCTCAGAAACCTAAATGAATATTAACCCTAACACCTGTCACCCCAGTCTTAATCAGTGGCAGAAGACAGATCTTGGAACTCTTCCTCCCACTTGGCCATTGAAGTTTAATAGTGAAAGGCTGGTCAGTGATAACAAGGCATCACAAAACCTCCAGAAGGAAAGCAGAATGCCTTGTGGACCTTTTCTTTCATTCTCTCTCTCCTTCTCCCTCTCCCTGTGGCAGTTTTAAATTATTAGTTTTTAAAATCAACACTTTTTCATGGAAAGAACTTGACAAAAACTCTGTCACAGAATTTTGTGACTCCTCCAAATATTTACTTTTATATTTCTTTACTTTTTAAAATTTTATTTTTTATTCGCTCACGTTTGCAGGACATGATGATTACATTCCTTGTGGGGAGTTGGTACGTGTACATACCACATCTTAATTTTTTTTCATCTCCTTCGCCTCCCTCCATATAATAATCCCCTTCTGTTTTGCAATGGACCTATGTCCTTATCTTTTTTTCTTTTGTTCTTTATTTATACTTTGGGCTTTTGTCATAAGAGAAACTATGTGTTGTAACTCACTATTATTTGTCTATTTGTTTTCCTGAGAAACTATCTTGTAGATAACAATATGTAAAACAATAACCATTGATAATTTCCTACCACTTTGTCTGTAATTTGGTAAGCCCCCCATTATTGTTATCCTTCTCTTACTCTTTAAAATAAAAATAAAAATAAAACAATAAAAGAGAAACC